ATTATTTCTATTTATAGTCATTATTCCTCATGATAAATACCTAAACACAGTCACACAACTGTGGATAGAAATGGACACCAATATCTTCTACATTTTTAACATTAATATATTTAGATAGATATTTAGATACTTATTTAGATATTAGATATTTATATATTTATTTATTTACTGACTCGCACATATTATAATGTTACGGATCACGCTTAGAATTCTTCTTCTACGAGTTCAATCGCTAAATGGTCGATTTCCAATGAATACGCCCTTAAAGTAGTTTAATTCTATTAAACGTTGACAACTCTACTCTCTATAGTAGGGGTGGAAGACACCCCTTTTTGGAGTGAAAACCCAATTGTTACTTTGCCCGAACATTACTCTTTTCCGGAAGTTACGATTCGCTGTTGCAACTTAGCCGAATACAGGGTGGCTATGAAAATCGCGTAACGATATTAATATCATCGCAAACGAGTTTCACTTATTCAACCTCATTCGTATTCACACAAATGAAACCAACACTCACAACGTGTAACATAGACGCTTTATTTTCTCGGATAGAAACCGAGTCTTTACCACCCTCCATCTTTTCACCCACCCTCGATCATGCTGGACCGAGGTGCACGGATTCGCGAGTCTAATTCGAACCGATTTCTAGCGCGACCGAGGCAAAAATGCTGTAATTATTCGATATAAGTTATTCGAAAGCACGACGGTAAATCACGGACGCAGTGGCGCGTCGGGGAACTATTTGCGGATCTATTAAGAATTCGTACGCGCGGATACAAATTGCCACGTGCACGCGGCTTCTCGCGAACAAGCGTCTCGCTGTTTCGTATCGGGCGATTCGGCCGAGCTTTCTCGCGCCCTCTCTAAAAATATCGACGGATGTATCGCTTACAAAACACGACGCAAAGAAGCTCGATGCGAATAGTCGCGACGCGCTAGAAGCTGCTGGATTAATGATCCGAGGAGCGGAGCGGGGTCGCGGGCTTCTGGTTAACAATGGCGGGAAAATCGTTATTAAATCGAGCGGCCGTATTCGGTGGCGCAGCGGTTAATTAGGTGAGCGAGACAAATGGCGTCGTGCTCTTTCCTCACTTCGTAAATCCGTTGGCGCTCACTCTCGAAATCCCGAACACCGATCTACGCGTGCCATCGTCGCGGTCGGGGCTCTCTCTGTATTTTGCAAAAAGTCCGCCGAACTGCCAGGCCCCGGCAAAAAGAGACGATCCCCGTGGCGCCATTACAACGATTTACGGCAGCGCTTTTCTACGCTCGTTATGCTCACGACGTTCGTCCATCGTAATTTTCCCGGCTAATGTGCTTAGGCATCGTCGACTCGTGCCTTTCCTATCGACGCGTCTCGTCAATCCCATCGACGATCAGAAATAGAACCCGCTGCCTCTGTTACTTCTTTCCTGTCGTATCCATCGTGCGAGCCTCGTTCCACGGGATAAGCTTCGAACGCGCGTGCACCACCTTCCGACCGAGTTTAACGTTTCGCGGCGCCGAGGGAGAGAAAAAAGAAAAAGAAGTAGAAGAAGAAAGGAAGGAGATATCGACGTATCTCGAGTTTACGCGAGACGGATCGGCAGTTTCTTCCACGACTTCTTTTACTATCATTCCCCGGTAGTAAATTTGCAATTTATTTCGTTTCCTCGCACACGCGGTTGCTTTCTCTCGCTGCCGCTTGTGTCCGTTAAAATATGCCGTTTGCCCGGATGTTTAATTAACGATCTCGAGGAAATTGAAAGAGCATACTTAGTCGAGGGAGCATATCTCGCGTAATCTAATAAAGCCACGCATTTCGTGGTCAGGCGTTCTCGTCTCTGCAACAGAGAATCCTCCTAATTACTCGCCAGTCAAACGTAACTTTTGGCATCGTGTATCCCTCGATCTCATACCGCCCGGTATACTTTACGATACGCCGGATTATAATCCGCGAGCATAAAACACCTCGGCGTATCTGGACTTTTACGACTCGACGTTTTATTCGCAGAAAAGAAAACGGGACGGCCAGATCTGCGATCGCTCACGCTCGACTGTGTGTTTCGATTAACGCGTCCGGGAGAGGAGCATATTACGTACATTACTTGGTAAGGACGCAGGGTAAATTAGAATAATTTGTTTTCCAAGCAATGACTGTTCCGCGCAAGTAGGTCGAGTCCGGCGCGGGAAGAGGCAACAACGAACAGGCATACGTGGCCATGCCGATTTCCGCTTCTTTCGCGATTGGAAATTACGCGGCAGCGCAAAGAAACATGGAAGACAGGTGGAGCAATAACACGCAAAGTCCAGCAACGTTGGCGGGAAAACAAAACGGAACCCGCGCGGATAATTCCCGGCTGGAATTATTTACACAGCGAATAACGAAAATTTTGCGGCCGCGTTGACAATTAACAGAAGCTCTACGTCAAATAGATTTGTTTTTCCACGGCCATTAGTAAGGTTACACCGGAACATTTCCCTTAATCCGTGTTTACGGAGGGTCGGGGCTGCGGTATATCCGTTCTTCTATCTCTCCGTTAAGAAACGAGAAGCTTACCAGACGCTGCATTTTTTCGTAAACGAGCCGAGGGTAACGGCGCGAGCCGCGTGTAAGAAACCGTGCTAAAATGTTGCACCTTACGCTGACAGCGTACGATAACATTCCGAGTATAGTAACAGGTTCGTCCGAGCTTGCTAGCGTCGGTGGTAGCCAGCCACCTATCCTGCAAGTAATCGCCAGATTCCGCGTTATACGTTTGCAAAGCTTGATATCTAAAATGAAAATCGATAAATCATGTCGATTGCTTGTTTTTACGAAGAGCTTTCGTTTACTGGCATTCGTCGGTAACGTAATTGGAACGCGAGTGTACTTTTCATGGAACGAGAATCATTCTAAAACAAACTGTAGGTTTTTACATTCCAACGTTTGCGGAAATGTTACCGAAACGGGTAAAACAGAAATTTTCGACGAATTTATCAGTCACTTTTATCGAGATAGCAGCCTAATTATGTACAATTATAATGCATCGTGTATATCGTAGTTAAAGAAGTATCAAAGGGCGGTAACTCTAACCTTAAAATATGCGCGAAGGGAATAAAGAATCTACCCGTGGTAACGATCGAGATGAAAGAATTACATTAATCCAAAGACGTGTTTGAGTCGCAAAGAGTAGAATACCATAGGAGGATTAAAAGCGAACGTTGCGATTTCGAGGAAAGCTTAACAGGAGAATGAAAAGGATCACGGGACACGGAGTTTCGCGAGAAATTCGATCGAGTTTCATAAAGGTACCCCCAAAAATATTTCGTCGCTGTATAACCTCTTTCC